AGAAGGAATTGATATTAAAAGCACTAGACAATCGCTTATTAACAATTGGAATTTTTCTAGACTTTTCTAAAGCTTTCGACACAATAAATCATGACATACTTCTTGCAAAATTAACATGTTTTGGAATTCGAGGTAACACGTTAAAGTTATTAAAATCATATTTGCAGCATAGAAATCAATTTGTAGTTATATCTAACTTTAAGTCGCATATTCTAAATATAACCAGTGGCGTTCCCCAAGGTAGTATATTAGGCCCATTACTTTTTACTATTTATATAAATGACATTGTTAACGTAAATCGCGACCCTGACATCGAGTTTATTATCTATGCCGATGATACTAGTATTTTTTTTCCTGGGCGAGATATTAATACACTTGTAGCCAAATGTAACAACTTGCTTGATAAAATCAATAGATGGACGACGAGCAATCTGCTTAAACTAAATTCACAAAAAACCAAGGCCATCATATTCAGCAGTTCCAATATTCCAGTTGTGATCTCAAGCCCCGTGGTTTTAAACAACGAAGAAATTGAATTTGTAGATAAAATTAAAACTTTGGGTATCTGGTTTACTAAAACTATGTCCTGGACCGCACATGTTGATTTTATTCTATCCAAATTATCAAAAACAGTTGGATTACTCATAAAATTTAAGTCGTTGTTACCTCAATCTGTAAAGCTTTTACTTTATAACTCATTGGTATATTCGCAGTTTAATTATTGTCACCTTGTGTGGGGCAATACGACAAAAGCAAACATGAACAAGCTGTTTATTTTACAAAAGAAAGCTGTGCGCGCTATCGCTAATTGTTCATATTATCACCATACCGAACATTTGTTTTCTTCGTTAAAAATTAAACCTATTCAAAATATCTATGAATATAAGCTTTTAGTCACGTATAAGAAATCATTGCTGATTACAGATAGCTTTTTTATGCGTCTATGTAGTCTTGTCCCATTCACTTCACCATACCAACTTAGACCAAAAGAAAAATGGTTTGTTGCACCATCACGCACGTTGTATTTTAATCAAACATTAAATTACCAGTTAACTACTCTATTAAATTACTTATTTACCAAAGAAATTGATATCGACGGGATGACACTGACTGAGGTACGAAAATGTTTTTGATTTTCTTTTTCTTTGTATTGAAAAGTCCCGTATGTGTATAATTATATTTATATATATTTTTCTTAGCCGTATGTGTGTAATTATATTTATATGTATTTTTCTTCGCCTGCTGTAAGAGGGGGCTCGGACCTTCGTCAAGCTGCAATTGCAGCTTTTTGTCCATGTCCCCTGTTTTCGTCTCTGAAACGAAATAAAGAGATTTATTATTATTATATGCAGTGCATATACATATGTACGATTTAGTATCTGACGCTTAGGAAGTACGGTTTGTTTTGTGCGCGTATGGACTTTTTCGTAAATAACGAGCATTTCGTAGCATGTAAGGCTTCCAACGTGTTAGTCATGGGTTTAGGTTTCATTTCTATTTTCAGTGATACATGCCGGGGTATTTAGATTTTTTCCTCTTGACTTAAGTTTGTCCGGGAGTCTAGATGTTACGTATCTTCTCCGTCAATACATAGGGCGAAGCTCACACACCTTGTAAATTACGCCAGTGCCCAAAAATATAATATTGTTAGGATAAATATTGTTCTTTCACTGGCTTTTACGCTCAGATATTGAAGTAAATACTAACATTATATAGAAAACCTTACATAGGTAAATATTCTGCTCACCTGAGCGTCTATGCGAAATCCCGTTCAAAACTCTCACAGCACGACATTCGAGTCCTAATAGCGGCCATACAAACAATATATTACAATTTTTGTTGGTAGGTCCTGACAGAATACTATATTAACTAACCGTAAATAAAAAAATGAAATAAATAAAAGATGTTTTTTTGTTTTTTTTGGAAAATCGACTTCAAACTTGCGAGTCTTTCTTTAGAAAAACTTGCAAGTTTGAAGTCGATTTTCTAAAAAAAATACACCTTCTATTTATTTCATTTTTTTATTTACAGTTAGGTAATATATAGTAGTCTGCCAGGACCTACCAACATAAATTGTAATATATTGCTTGTATGGCCGCTATTGGGACTCGAATCACGTGCTGTGAGAGTTCTGAGCGGGACTTCGCATAGACGCTCAGCTGAGCAGAATTTGGACCTATGTAATTGTTTCTATTTATAGTTAGTACTTACCTCAATATCTGAGCGGAAAAGCCAGTGAAGCAAAAATATTTATCCTAACAATATTTATTTACTTGGCACTGGCGTGATTTGCAAGGTGTGTGAGCTTCGCCCTATGTATTGACGGAGAAGACACGTAACATCTAGACTCCCGGACAAACTCAAGTCAAGAGGAAAAAGTCTAAGTAACCCGGCATGAATCACTGAAAATAGAAAACACATGACTAACACATTTGAAGCCTCACACGCTACGAAATGCTTGTTATTTAACGAAAGAGTCCGTACGCACACAAAATAAACCGTACTTCCTAAGCGTCAGATACTAAATCGTACATATGTATATGCACTGCATATCTGTTTGACATAAAACAAATATGACAATTACATGTCAAGTTCGGTATTTCAAACTCAAAGCCGAAAGCAAAAGGCCTTCGAGGAATTCATTAACGACCTGCGTTCCCCCGTATATGGAGGGAGTAAGCGCTGTGTCCGCGCTTATGGATACGGACTTCGAAGTAAATTTTTTTAAGTACACTACTCCAAATTTTATTAATGTTTATGGTTGGATATTGAGGTAACTGATAACGGTAAACAGAAAACCTTACATAGGCCAACATTCTGTTCAGCAGAGCGCCTGTGCGAAGCCCCGTTCGAAACGCTCAAAGCACGAGATTTGAGTCTTAATAGCGGCCATACAAACAATATATTACTATTTCTGTTGGCAGTTTCTGATAGACTATTATATTAACTAACTGCGAATAAAAAATAAAACAAATAAAATGTGTTTTTTTTTAGAAAATCGACTCCAAACTTGCCAGTATTTCGAAATTTTCGTTTTTCAGGCACATGTAGCGCATTATATACTTATTGCAAAATATTGAAATTATACTCAAAAGAAAGAGCTTAATTGGAGCTTTACGGTGATATACAGATCATAAAAAATATGTTGATTAGGTCGCACAGCACAACTTGCTGAACTTCGTCAAATATCGTCGCAGAGAGCCGGTTTGACAAATAAAAAAAAAATCATTAAGAATGCTAGGACTTAGACGCTTAATGAGCATAAAAAAGCCTATGTCTAGAGTGTTCCCAAAAAGTTATATTGATGTAGTGTAAAAAGTAGGGGAATAAGATGGAGTGAAATATGGCACCTCCGATAAGCTGGAAAAACGTCAGTTTCCACCTCTGCCGCTTCAACGGTCCATAACTTGAGAACAAAAAATCCGACGAAATTGCCGTTTGCGTCTTCTTTTATTATAGGAATTGCCCCAAAACATATTTTTTCGTCAAATTTAAAAATTCGACCCAAAATCCGTGCCCGAGTTGAGATGAAATCACCCAGATGTATTCGTCCACCTCATTATTTTTTTTTTTTTTTGGCCTAGATTTTAGTTTAACTTTTAGTTCTGTATTTAATATACTTATCTAGGATTATTTATTTCGGTTTTCCTTATCTATGTTTACTTATTCATTTTCCGGCCCTCGAAACAGCAACAGATCCGCGATCCGGCCCCTTAGACGAAAAGTTAGAACTCTGGAATAAACTAATCACGCAGAGGAAAAAAAAAAAATCAGCTTTTTCACTCTGGTGAAGACGGAAGGCCAGCGAAGCTGTACTATGGTGGGAATGAAGTAATGGCCGGCCGCAAGGCGGCAAGCCAGAGTGGAAATTTGCTCGAAAGGTTGCCGCCGTCGCTCATAGATGGCGGTAGCTGTTGGAGTGTTGTGTCCACATTTATTTTTCCACGGACACGAGCCTAAGCAAGTGGCACCGGCCGTGATAATGACGAATCGCATGCCCGGAAGGGCGGAGCGATAACTCTATCGACGCTCCTTCCTGTTTAGTTTCGGTTTGACGCCATCTACCAAAGCGACATTTCTCGACCCCGTAGCGTCTACTAGGAATTTTTTTTATCCATATTTGACTACACGGCTAGACCATACTGTGGCCGATCTTCAATCCTCTAAATGCATTACGTGCCCTCAAGTGAAAAGTTAATTAAAACATTTTAGTTAATTAGCTAAATAATTACCTAATTTCACCTTTTTTCTAGAGGCTGCCATGGCCGCTAACACTACCCCAGGGCTCAAATTACTCTATGCCACGTTTCCTTTTTCTGAAAATTTGCTGCAGCTAAAAAAAAAAAAAAAAATACCCTGTGTATATATATATATATATATATATATATATATATATATATATGGGTGATTTCATCTCAACTCAGGTACAAATTTTGGGTCGAATTTTTTTTTTTTTAAAAAGTACATGTTATCGGGCAACTCCTATATTAAAAGGAGACGCAAACGACCAGTTCGTCGTTTTTTTTTTTTTTTGTTTTCGAGTTATGGACCGTTGAAGCGGCCAAGGTGGGACCTGTCATTTTTCCAGCTTATCGGGGGTGCCATATTTCACTCCATCCCTTTTCCTTACTTTTTACGCTCCATCAATATAACTTTTTCGGAACACTCTCGACATGCCTCATGCATTGAACGCTACTCGCAAAACAAACATCAAGGGGATTTAGGAAATGGTCCATTGAATATGAGCCAACCGCCCACACAAAATAACAAGGAGAAAAAGCCAGTGTCGCCTTGTGACCTAAAATAAGCAACTTACGTCACCTGAAAAAAAGAGAAGTGCCTTGTTTTCTTTTAAACTTTTTGCTCATCGTCTCAGCTGTTGTTGTCTGACGATCGTTAGGCGTTACTCACACAATGAGTGGACAGTTTTCTACACTGAGAGCTATAATCACATATCTTCATACAAGAAAAAAAAGGGCAACAAAGAAATTCCATAGAGCTTAGAGTGTTCAAAGTTTATTATCTCCATCGACAAAGACAACTGAACAAAGAATGCTAGAGGCAGCTAATCTGGTAAATAACTTAAGAAAAAAAAAAAAAAAAAAAGAACATGCACACATGCAAGCCACCGATCCGAGGAAATAAATTCAGTAGAAGCGAATATGATGTCAACACCTCTTCCAATGATATGCAGCACTAAAAACATACACGCAAAAAATAGGCACCTAATACATAAAGACGGCAACCACCATTGCAAAAGAAGTACGGCGTCCAGAATCCGACATGCCCTACGATATGAAACCAATACTTATAATTTTCTCACTAAAATATCTTTCCCAAAAAGAGCACAAAGAAAGCAATAATGTAGCGGATTCTTCGACAGAAACATGCTGGAACACTATCATAACGGATAATATTAGGTTACTCTATATATATACACAATAGACATGTTTTAAGCTTTCCAAACAGGAACACTGCTACACGGGTATGAATGTCCTCGAAAAAAAATGCTCACTCTAAGCACAAGAGCATCGCTCCATTGCCAGCAACTGTACAACGTCTTCTCAAACACCCATGGCTCCACCATTTGAACTTCCAAACATGGACAACCTACCCAGAAACACTAGATGCCCCAACACTTGCTACGAAAACCCAGCCTAAACGCACACGAACCACAGCCATTCAGACCCATGCCGAGACAATTGTACACCTGCGCGTAGTATGTACACAACCATGAACTCGCGGCACCACAAACCGTCTGGCAACTAAAGACACAGCCATCCACCACGTCAATAAAAACACTTGCCGAGTTCCGGTTTTTAAAACAACAACGGAGATCGCACATGGCAATGTTTTTCCTCGCGCGCCGGAACTTTGGAATATGTACATTCCAAGTAATATAAGGTAGGCTCTCAAAGCTCATAGATGCTAATCTGAAGGATATAGATTAGCATTGTTTGAATGTGAGAGGAACTCCCAAAGGTAGTCCAAAAAAAAAAAAAAAAAAATAGATAGAAAGGTAATGTTTCCTTTTTCAAGTTATAGTCTTGCAAGCACCCTCAAAAGAGCAGGCCACCATGACGTGCCTCTAGTTGAAGAGGCATAAAAACAAGTGGAGCACGTTGGACAACATACACACCTGCAAACTAGAAAACAAAAGACATAAGTGTGCAGAATATAACAATCTCTATCCTTCAATGTAAAAAAAAAATTCTGTTATAAAGGTATGTTCAGGAGGCGAATAGGCAACTCTCGAATACATTTCACGAGCACAGCAATGCGCGGTCGTATCTATCGAAGTTCGAGTAGGCCAGCAACCAATATGTCCCCTCTGGTCATGCAACAATGCTCAGGATTCTTTAGAAGATAATTTAATAAAAATTAGGGAGGCAAAAAGGCCTGTACCAAAATACAAATTGATCAACTGGGCTCACTGCCATACCCTTCAGAAGAACTAAAGATTGAAGTTTAAGGAGCAGAGAAGTGTGCTGCAACAAAGTCATTCAGAAGGTTTGAGAGGATAGCAATGTTTAGTGACTACTGTTCACAAAGTGAAAAAAAAAAAGTCTTCATATTTTAATTATTATTACATTCTAAACTTTCTGAGAATCAAAACTCGCAAAGTGTTCTACAAAATTCAAATACAGCTCAAAACGCGAGTAAGTAAAGAAAGTCTGTACCACAACTCTAGAGGTTTGCATAAATTAGCCAAGTTAAACACCAATATTGGAGCACTTAAAAAATTCTTCAATGCTCTACTTTAAGAAAAAGTATAAAAGCATAAAAAATTGTTGTAGGAATGACATGAAGTTTTGTCATTCAAGCCTCATTTCAGCCGACTTGTAGCACCAAACACTTTCAAATTTAGCCGAAATGAGAAATGCATCACATACTCTGCACCCATGCTAGATAATCTGACAACCCTGGTTTTCCCTGTGAAACACCTTGTTAATGGTCTCAACAGGCTCCTATGGTGCCAGCCGTTGAACAACATTTACTAGTCAAAGGAACAGCATTGTCTGAATGTAAATCCAAAAGATTTGGATTAGCAATGCTTGAACACCGACAAAGCTCACTCTAGTGTTTGCAAACCAAAGTGGCCGCAGGATTGAATTTCGGGGAGGGGGGGGGGGGGGGGCGATTGACCTCTCTATGCCCCCCCCAGGTCAACTTTCCTTTAATGAAAATATTGATATACATTAGCCAAAAGTTTAGATTTTGGTGAGATAGCAAATATTGGATCAACAAAATAGATATGGGCACCGTTTCCGCCGTAACGCCCCCCCCCCACCTGCAAAATGCCTGCCTACCCCCCCCCCCCCAAGCCTGACCTACCTAAATCTGTTTGTGTGGCCGGAGCCTCGGCTAGCATAGAAATCTTGCAAGGTCATCCATTAACATGATAATAATTAATTCTTCAGAAAAGCAGGCCACAATTGACTAAAAACAAACGAACAGGCAACGTCTAGATCAGGGGTGGCCACGGTGACATCGGGTTACAGCCGCAGACAAAACTACAAAAGTTCAGAGAGCCGCAGGAAAAAAAAGGGGGGGGGGGGGGGGAGGGGGGTTACCTTTATCAAGAAACAATATGAAGGGAACAGTCCTTTTTAAAAGGGAGATGTATAATCCTCGACTACAACAAATAACACCGGGCAGCGGAGAGTTTCTTTAACCGCTAAGCAAAAATGAATGCATGGTTCGCTGGCCAACCACTACCCTTGATGCCCATTATGTGTATATGGTTCAAAATTATTTCTAAAACAATAAAGGAAACATGGTTACTAAACACATCTATGTATTAAAATGCAGTCCAGCTGTATGCACGTAGTGTAATACAAAACTGCCAAAACAGTGAATATATATATTTTTTTTAAATTAACTTTTTTTTGTTTTGGGGACATAGAACGGGAAGTGGGGCAAGCTTACCAGGGAGCCGCAGGGCGCACTTGGACCAGCGAAGAGCTGCATGCGGCTTTGCGAGCAGCAGTTTGGCCACCCCTGGCCCAGATACTATCAACTGCTTTGTAACTCTGCCACTTTCAAAATTAGAAAGACAATATGTGTAAATATATAAATAAGATATTCAAGAAACTTTTTTATTAGGAAATAAAGTTTGCAGCAAGGGTAACCAGTAAGAAAAAATGTTTCAGCAGTAAAAAAGACAAATAAAAAACCTTGTATGACAACTGTATGACGAAATTTGGCGCCCAACTTGGGGTTGCTCGACTTGCCACAAAAACTGAACGTTCGGCCACCGAAGCGAAATTCTTTGAACTCGCAATTTATCTTTCAGTTTGCAGACTGCGCATGCAGACGGGACCACTAAACCATTTTTTTTTACATAACTGACACTCCTAGCTTACAACCTGAACACCAATTAGTTAAAAAAAGTTAAGGAAATGGCAGCAAGCAGCTAACCAGCTAAAGGGAAATAGCTCAGCACGAGTCTTAGGGAGCTCAAGTGAGAGCCTCGGGTCATTAAGAGCAGCGTGGGGTTATCCAGCTCCTGACGTCGTGCCACTGCTAAATAACTTCAACACATGGTGTATCAAGCGCAAAGCGGTTAACAGAGGGCCCTGAAAAACATGCACACAACCGTAAACAAGGTACCCCGCTGCAAGCTTTCTTTGCCGTACGACATCCGACGCGCCATCACTCACGCTATGCTGAGCAACCACGCCACGTAATTGTTGTGCCACCCAAGCGCATGACAGTGATTGGCATGGAGGCATTTGAGAGCGACTCGCGTTTATTTGAGCCCCAGACGTTTCTAAAAGCGGCCTGCTCTCCTTGGATCGGCAGACTATGTCCCGGCAAAACGGAACGGGTTTTGGGAGAGAAAAAACAGACAGATGCGAGGACGACTTTCACTCATGTTGTCCGGGTTCGATTTGGGTGGTGCTCGACAACTGCTACCGCTACCCGCCCCTTCAAAACTCCAGTCTGGTACACCTTGTAGTCATGCAAGACCAACGAGCCTTTAGCAACTCATCTCGGTACCTTCCACCGGTGATCCCGACCGATTCGGGAAATGTTTCAGGGACGAACAAATAGAATACCAAATCCAGCTGCCCACAGCACTATAAGGTAACTCGGACAAGTAACAAGTAGCATGACCTTCCATACCTCCACATTCTTGCTTTAAATACTGTTGGGCAGCACCAGGTGGTGCGAGTACCAGAGGGAACAGAAAAGAGATTTGGTATTGGATAATTTTACGCTTCACATACTTGCAACACAAGATCCGTTGCACACTGCCTTCTTGACATAACGCACACTGGACTAAGCCAATCTCGTACCCAGATCCAAATTTGTCTCTGGTCACATTCAGCAACCAAGTGTACTCAGAAACCATAAATTCAATTACCCAATTAATTCAAGATGAGTGATGCCAGTCAGCAGACCAGCAAGCAAATACAATAGCCAGTTATCTGAACGAGTATCCATGGGTCTAGGGAGACTCCACGGTTCGAACTAACTATCGGGATCACTGAAGAACTTACCACAGGGGTGAATTTGAATGCTACTGGAGTTTATTAGCTGTATTACCCTTGAATTTTTGCCACCCCAAATTTAAAAGCTTTAGGACCAGAAACATTGACGCTGGGCAACGTTTATCGTTAGTAAGGAAGTCCCAAGAGGTAAGCAGAGTTAACTACGAGGGAAGTGAATTTTGCACGAAAACGGCCGGCGAGTTGGGTTAATGGATCACCAAGCAGGATCATCAAATTTCATCATCAGAATGCTGAGTTCTGTGAACAGCAGAGTGGGCTGTGCAGTACATGCAAAAGAATAACTTGTAGCCACTGGTGATGTGTGAGCTGGATCGTGCGTCGGAGCGCAGTACTGGACCGTGTGTACAGTCACCGGAAGAGTCACTAAAGGGCAAGTGGTCTACATTACTGGAACAGCAATAGCCCCTCTGGCAGCCGGCAGGTTCCCGAGAGACCACCCAAATGACCGGACGCGGCACGCGAACACTTTACAAGGCGAACAGGCTGTTTTCCGTCTTCTCGTCACGCTCCATACGGTTTCTAGATGGCGGTGGTGCGGGTGGCATGGCAGGACCGCCAATGGACACCGGTGCGGGGGTGGGTGGTCCGAGTGGTCCCGAAGTTGCAGACGCAGCCGGCGGAAGACGCTCCGCAGCGGCGGCCCGTTCCGCCAGGAACCGGTCGAACTCTGCTGGTTTCGGGGTCCCCGCAAAACAACAAATGAACAGGCGGCAATCAAAAATAAATGTAATATAAATGAAGTATGAAAACGAGAATGGACGCTTCCTCACTTTCTGTTTTGAAGTGCAGCTCTTAGGCGCCCGTTTCCGGCTTCAGCAGCGTCGCCGTCGCCGTAATTGTCAGGTCACGTAACCTCCGTGAGGTAACGTTACCCCGGTGATGTCCTGTGACCACCCATGAGATCACGAGGGCCACGTGACCTCACGGTTACGCAGATGACGACGCTGACGCCGCTCGGAGGGAGGAGCAGCAGGCAGGATGAGGAGGTGAGGAGGAGGAGGGGTATACCCTCCCCTCAGTACTCTTCCCTCCTCCTCCCCAAGATCTGCGCTCTAATTCGTTGTTACAGGGAGTTGTAAACAGCTTTAATTTTTTACCGGGGCTTTCAGCAGTGTTAATGGCAGTTGTTTTTGCAAAGAGCGGGAATACACTCTCTATTCAAACTAAAACAGACATTTCCTGACTTCGTCTGCTCAGAGACACACTTTTAGAGGCACTCCATTCAAGCCAAAAACAAGTTTTGTATTTCTTTATGGGGACATAACATGATTCTGACCAAAGCACTGCACCATAATAACCTGGTAACCCCGGTAAAAACAGTATTGAAAATACAGGGTTTAATCAATACCAGGGTTTGCTCTAAAATTGTTTGAAGAAATTGGTGCCTGATCATAGTGGTTTTAAATTTTTGTCAAGCGTATTTTAGAGGTGCATTTTAATTAGGGAAATATCAAGGCGTAGCTCCCATCCTGCGAAAAATGAGCCCACCCTTGTCATCGTCAACGTCAAATGCTCGAGCAGACAATCAAACTAACCGCGGGTTATGCTTTCGGCGGCATCTCCCATTAGGCGCAGCAAGCAGATGACAGCATCCTCTGCTTTTGAATGAGCGCACTGTTCATCTGACATGGCTGTCGGGTTCGAAAAGCCGCCGTAGATTGTTCAAAACAAGCCGCTATTCCTTTTCTGACCGAGGCAAGTTCGTTCATTGATATTTTCACTTCAAACTTCCACCACCTCGCTGCACTTCTGTAGTAAATCACTAGGCAATACATTGAGAAACAGAATTTCGCAGACCGTCTCAGGTGGCTTTGAAGCATTAGTGTACATGTGTCCATGAATAAGAGAATGACTTTCACGTCACAACTCACCGGTGCTGGTTATAGACTCTTGTCCTGTTGCTGGCTCAACAGGCTAGAAAAAAAACAACACAAAAAGCACAAGGTTAGGGCTTTATCATCTTAGTACTTCACTGTAAAACCTTATGATCAGCTTTATTCAGAGTTAGGCTTAGTTGGTTATGTTAGGCTTAGTTTCAGGCAAGTTAGGTTTAACTGAAGAGAAAATTATAGGGTAGTCATTCCAAACCCAAAACATTGTTATTGATTACGTAAATGTATAATATTAAAACAACAAGGATGCAGGAGAGTCAATTTTCTCCGAAGAATTGTGCTAGCAACGTTAGGCTTACCAATCGAGTTAAGGCAAACCATGAATCTGTTTACGCAATATACTGGGCGTCCATGAGAAAACCAAGCCCTGTTCTTCGCACCGCAAAAATAAACTAGACATTGCGCAGAGCTCAAACTCTCTCAAAACGTAGCCCCAGCCGTTCGAGCAAGATGCCAAAGTTTCAGCACCAACCATTATCTTATTCAAAAGTTATAAGCGAAGTTCTGAAAATTTTAACGGAAAAGCAGCGGCCGACGGAGCTCTCGAGTACATGGAGCTCTATGGCGATACAAACCGAAAACGGGCGAAAATGGGCCCCATTTTCCCATTGAAAATTTCAGAAAATTACTTATAACTTTTGAATAGTATAGCGGTTAGTGCCAAAACTTTGGTATCTTGATCGAATAGCTGGGGCTACATTCTGACGGAGTTTAAATTCTCAGCGATGTGTAGTTCATTTCTGGGGTGCGAAAAACAGGGTTTGATTTTCCCGCGAACGCCCAAAATAATTGATTCTGAACCCTACAAAGCCATCTTAAAAGTAAAAGAAATATGTGGGCAATTAAAACTACTATTAAAATAGCGGTCTGCATAAGCCTACTAAAACTTGGCAATTTTTTAGGTGGTACCACACAAAATGGATTAGATATATTGAAGAATTAAGGTTGAGCACAATATGTGCCAAAAAGGTTACTACATAACGTATTGAAATAACAACCTTCAAATAAAAAGCAAACTTTTAGCTACGGTAGTAGTATAGTAACAACTTCCTAAGCAAGCAACGCTTCATACATGGCAATAACACCTCAATATGTTTCCGTTCAGCCATCCAGATTATGCCTCTCTAAACTAGTAAAAACATGACCTGGCAACACTATAGGTGTGCCATGTGCAACCACATTGCACAAATTGCTGTGTTTAGTTCATAAAAGCAAAGATGTCTCTTTTGTTAAAACCTGCTCATTTTAGAAACATACTGAATTTCGTTATGACCGAACACATACTACCAAGACAAGCTCTTTTTAAGCTGGTGATATGCCAGGCTCCTATTACACAGGCAGAATGTCTGCAAACGCTAAATGACTTTGGTATGATAATGGCTAGGCTAGGCTAGGCTTGGCTAAGACTAGCCGACATACCTTCTCCTTCAACCACAGCTCCATTTCGTCAAAATCCCTCTCCCTATGAAACTGTGTAAGGAAAGAAAAAAGTGTAGAAGGAGAACCAAGGAATGAAACCAACACAACCAAAAAGGTAAAGACTCAAGGGCTGTGTCTGCAGGTTGGAAGAAACAAACAGAACACCCCAATTCAACCGCTGTTGGTCACAAGGAAGTTAAGTCTTCGGTTCTTAACCCTTTGTTGACGAATATTGCTTACAGGCAACAAACCACATTTTTTTTTTTTGTTTAATAGTTTTGGTTTCATTTTACATTTTTTTAATCTAGTAGTCTGGCAACACTCTTGAAGATCGAAAATACAGTGCCACCTAGAAAAAAGATATGCAAATAGTCAATGAAAAAAAAAAAAAAAGAAGTTTGGCGCACAAAAGTGTGGCGATTGAGAATGGCAGAAGGGGGAAAATATGGACAAGTGTTTTTCTCTTGACACTAATATTTTACGATAGGTGACCGTTTTACTTGAGGCTTTCATTTGTGCAGATATTATTGACCTATTATAGTGATCCATAGGATTATGCAAGGGAGCCACCCTCAAACTTTTGCCCGGTGTTGCCCACAGGCCACAAAGCTATAACTTACATTATATCGTCAATAAAGGGTTAAAGATAGTTTCGGCAAAGGATGAGACAGATTTTTTATTATTTTCAGTGCTAAAAAAGAAAAAGAATGACTGCTTTGTTGTACTCACATAAAACTGCAGTTTCTGTTTTCCTGTTTTTATTAGACTAACAGACAAATGTCAAATATAATTTTGATAAATAAAAGATATATACTGTAAGTCACTAGTGTTAATTAACATTTTTTTATCTGTCATTCTGTACATTAGTATTGTCATAGGGTTTGATGTAAATGTAGACAGCAATCACGGTAGTGCTGCCCATTTGTTGCATTCATACTGCGGCACCTCCGCTTGCTCGCTGGAGTCGCAATTTTTATTCTGACTTAATCACTTTAAAAAAGAAATGATATCCCAGAGTTAGATTTATGCAACGTAATCAAGTGGCTGGCATTTACACATATGATGATACTCCCAAGTGAGATAGTCCCCCCAGACAAGTTTGTTATAACAGATGTTTAATTGTTGTGAGTGGGGGTGTTATAAAATGGGCTGCCCTGCATCATCAACAGAACTCACGTTTCACTAGCATGCTTCTATAACTACACAAAAGTACAAGCATTCCAAAGGATAAGGTCAAACTTCAAACAAGGTGCCTAGGTCACTTTGTCGAGGCATGAGGCTGCAATCAGAGCAGGGATACACTTTCGAGATTACCCCTTTAGTGAAAACGTCAGCATCAAACTCGTCTATCACAGCGGCAGTCAAGGTAGAGTAACACTACCTGCTGCAGTGCACCCGCTGATCCCTTTCATAGGCAAAAAAAGCATTAATACAAGGTACTGATAGTTGTAAAGTTAGAGTTACTTGTGTGCTCAAAGTTTATATTCTGAGAAACTGACACTAGCAACCTAGTGTTGGTGCAGAGTTTGAGCATTTGAGTCACTGCAGATGTGTGTAAGCCGGCCCTCATGTCGGTGCCTTTGTTTATAAAAAAGATTGTGACATCTCAAAGAGTTACGTTTAAGCACCAAAGCGCTGCAATGTTTCAGCGATTCCAACAGCAGCTGTGTTGAACTGTCAACACTGCGAGTGCTGTTGCTAAAAAAAAAATGTCTTAGTCTAGTGACAGGCCACCAATCAACGTTACCAAAACTCCCTTGTAATCAACAGAAAATCAAGATTTATTTCACAAGTTTGTAAAGGTTTGTGGTTAATTTAAACAGTTAAAAAACAACCAAAACTGGAACTACTGTCCCGATGTCTCTCTACGGTCGTTCGAAAGATCGTCTTTTGAAAACGCGTCGTCTCAACACTCGGGTCGTGACCATATGCACATGGTCCCTCTAATCTCGTAAGCAGAAGAAAATTCTAGTTTGAAACCTGCGACTGAAGAACATTGGTCTCAATACTTAGTCAAAAAATATCCTGCCATTAAGGCATGCTCCATCCGGTCATTAAAAATTGCAGCGTGATACCTCGAGACACTGACCGATATCATCCACAGGAATCTCTGCAGCTTAGATATAACCTAATTGGCATTTCAATCGCTCCAAGACACAACAACTGGCAAACACTTGCAAAGAGTAATACAAAATAAATAAAACAAAGTACATTCTTTCAAATACAAATACAAAGAACATGAGTAGAAACAAACAGTAACTAGCAGACGATGGGCTGTTTTTGCTCACCTCGTGCAGTGCGTCCGCCTCAACCTTTCCGAGATGGAAGCAGTCCGCAAACACACGACAATGCAACGAAAAGCAATGTTGGACACCGGACGTGCGCAAAGCAGACGCCAGACATGCCGCGAGTTGCACCACGCCAAAAAAGACACACACCACTTCGCGCCTAACACCAGGCAGCAGGCCACGAAACGACAAAACAAAAACGACGGCAAGCAACGCAGCTTGGGCTTATACTCTGTTTCAGCATAGCTTGGCAAAGAGTGATCGGGGCAATGACCAATCAGAGCGACGGAGTGGAGCACGTGACGGGCTTTCTGCAATTAGACTAGAGTCCAAGTGATACTCGCGGCTCCGCGATCGGCGTGTGCCTGCCCCCCCTCCCCTTTCCCAGCGAGGTCAAAAGGAAATACAGTTGTAGAAGGAGAGACGGCTTGCATTTTGGCAATCATGCCACCATACATACTGCTGCGGCACTCTTCTCGACAATGAGGGCGGTAAAATCAAAGCAGCGTGTGACCCTCATGAAAACATTCCTAGCCGAGTTGCTCAAAACTGCAACGACGTCACGCGAGTCAAACTTCCAAGTGTTTGTTTTATGAATGAGGACTCAGAATGAAGAAACATAATAAGCTATTGCCTTATGAGTGGAACTTAAAAGCACCTATCAACAACTAAAAATAAAAAATAAAAAAAAACTGCCACTTTACTTTTTTATTGAAGCTCTTCACTTAAAATGGTTCTTTTATGGCTCTTTGCTAGTCATGTTTGAATAGGAGAAATTGAGCTCAAAGCGAACAGTGGTTTGGGCTGAATATTTTTTAATTGTATATAGAATAGTTTCTCCAAGCCTTTCACTACCGTGCACCACGCTTAAATGAAACTTCGGCTGAACTCGTGATGGTCGTTTCCAACCTTCAACTTGTCCAGTTCTAAGCTCAGTTAATTTCAGTATCACTATATTTATGAACCGTGGCATGAAAACGACTACTGTCGCAGCCTATCCTGATCGAGGGGATATTTAGATATGCTTGCTATATGCAAATCTTCCTTCTTCAATTTCAAATTTGACAAAAAACAACAACAAAGCAAGCACGAACGATGGACGTGAGCTGTAAAGGTGTTGCTGCCTAACAGATACTCCGAGTCGCATGATCACGGTGGGTTAGCCCCGTTGAGTCCGCTTCTCACCGATCACCCGTGCACTGCGGGGGAGCAATACCTGCGGAGCTCGCGGTCTTTGTAAGCGTTGCTTTCCCGCTGTGCATAGCTCCACGGTGAGAAGCACAATCAATGGGGCTAACTCGCCATGATCAACACCCTGAAAGGTAGTACGACGAATATCGCGGTTCATCTCGAAGCGAATACCGAATAGCGTATTATACGAAACTACTATTCGAAAACTTGAATATTCACATAACACTACCTTTTGCGTAAGTCTGCCTGACCATTCCTGCTATACACCGTCACGTGCCTCACTTCGGCACACTAATCGGCACCCTGGGTCCGCAGCTTTCGCCGTTCGCCAAGTCACGGTGAAAAGGAGCAGAGACGCCCCTTCAACGCTTTCAAAGGTAAACATGAGGAGTTGTCTAGAGTGTCTGTTTCGAATAGGCTTCTGAATTCCGATGCTTACACGTATTTTCCGATTACTTTACTTAAATTTGCACGCATAGTCCGAAGACAACAGACGTCCAGAATCTTTCAGGGCTGCGCAAACGTCGCTTCAAATTGAACAGTGCAGTGCCGTCGCTAGCTTCAACGCCGCAAAGAGGGCCAGTACATGGTGGCTTTTCCTTGCATTGTGAAGGTTAAGCATGATGCAGCGCTATTCGATTATAACGGCTATGTTTGCGCACGTCTGGAAGTTTTAAATGGTAAAGGGGCACTGAAGTGGATTCTGAGATTGTCTATTTAAGGTCGCAACTCAATCTCGAAGCACCCTGAAAAACTCAAAATTACACTCGTGGGTGGTCGATTTCCCTATTAAATACCTAATCAAAGCTTATCACACGCCCCTCTTTCAGCGTCTTGCAGCAGACACACGACAGAGCCATTGAATGGCATTTTTGAATAATCAATTGCTGTATTATGTCTCCTACAACCTAAGATTTTATGTTTTTCTGTCAAAATAGGATGCACAACATGATTAAAAAGAGTAATATTAGTAGTGTTTACAATCTCCACGCTATTAATTATTTTCACTAGTCAAATTTTATGGAGGTCTTGGGGAGCAAAGGTGGCCCCCCCCCCCCCCCCCCCCCCAAAAAAAAACAAAAAAAACAACAACAACAAACAAACATCGTGCCCATGTTTTTCTGATGCTGCAAGTTTACTAGGATGCCTTTCCGTCAAGAACTGGCCCCTTTTATAGACTAAAGCCCAAGAAACAATATGTCATCAAAAACAAGCTTCTACAGAAAGCACTTCAGTGTCTCGGCAACAGTGGCATGCCAGTGAGCGTGGCAATGTGTCGTAAGCCCCAAGAAAAGAAGATTGTATGATTCACAATATGCTATAAGCCCTACTACTTGTGCACCGCAAATTTCTAATGGGGTCCTCTGAACGTATGTGTCAAAGGTGGCACGTTACAAAGTGTGACTCATCCAAGAGGATTGCAGGCTAGAAATAGTTGTGTGGCAGAGCCTTGTAAAGTGCAACAGTATTAAGAGGAGCTCGCCAGTAAGGGGAGCAAATCAAACCAATTTAAATCAACTTTCGACGGGGTTCACTTGTTTTCAGAAGGGTTCTGCTAAGATAAATGATCAAGACACCAGTATGTAAGATCTGCATACAAGATTGTCATTAAGGTGTTCCACTGCACAACTGCTACATAAAATTCACGCAAATTCAACTAGCGGCCAAACCAGGCTTTGCCCAAACCGGTCAACCGCCTTGCTAACCGGACGCTCATTTAAGTTGTCGTCATCGCACCTATCTCGTGCTCAGATAACACGCATGAGATTCGCTCGTATTATCTCTTAATAACCTACTCATCCCCTGTACACTGTAATCAATTCTATCTTTGCGGGCTCGATATTTCGCAAGCTTTGCAAAGTTGAAGTCTCAGGAATATTTCGCGGGCACTAAACTTTGCGATTGGCAGCACTATGCTACATATTCATTAATGTGGGGTAACATACTACTTGCACTATCAATTTTTCGTAATATTTTTCAAGTGTCGCAAAGTTTGTGAAAATAAGGTCCTCGCGAAAGTGAGGTCATTTACAGTAATTCATAAGGATCTGGTATAGGAACAGCTTCGTCGCCCGTTTACTGCCTCATTACTTCGACGCGACTGCATGGATGCACCTGGACATGCGGTAATAACCCCCACACGGAGGATGAATCGACGGAGTCGAACCCTCACCTTCTGCCCCCTGACTTGGGCGAGCGCACCGAGCGAAACTCCGAGCTGGTCGACGCTGGTGTTGTCGGCGTACGAACTTCCCCTGCGGAAATGATGAAGGGGACCTTTGACGTTGAAGAAAGACGCCGCCATGTTTCGAGGACTAGCTAGCGTGGCGAGGCCCTTAATCTTCCGGCGTTTATTCAAGAGGGAAATGTGCGGACGTCTTTCGGTTTGTCGGTGAACGAATCTAATTTAAAAGCTATGAGCATTTAAATTAAACTAAGACTGGACAACACAAATGACACCCTTTGTTGTCCAGTCTCTTCTTTTGTCCTCGTCTCATGCGCTACCATGTTTTTTAATACCCAGTACTGACTCGCCCAACAGTCCACACTAAGAGTCCGAGTCTAACAGAAGAGGGTTTCTACAAAAACAATCTTAACTAAAAAAAAAAAAAAAAAAAAAAAAAAAAACTGAGTTTCTTTTTTTTTTTTTTATTTTAATGATTCTGTATTTTTAAAACCTACAAATGTTTATCAGTGTTTGTCGGTTTTTAGCGACTTCGTAATTTGAATGCCGGCAGATGTTTCTTGCCATTTTTCTATAGCCTATGAATGAGCCATGACCACTACTAAATGCTGGTTCCCACACTGCAGCGAAGTGGTTAATTTGGCTAGTTGGTTTATAGTTTAAAAAATATAAAAATGGCTGGGCAATTGTGTTGCACGTGAAATATGTGGTCTCAGTCCAATTCCTCTGGGACCGAGGTTTCAGTCTGATTCCTCTGGGACTAACGTCTACACTCTCTTCATAGGCCAGTTTAACAACTGGCGTAACGTGTAACACTCTATAGCAATTCCTAGTATGGAAATACCGGCGCTAACCCTGCTTTTTAACCCCCTGCACTCTTCCGGAACCCTCCATATATCTGCAGACGTTTCTCCGACGACATCCGACCAGTCGGGCAGGCGAGCGGTGGTGCATGAATGATTGTGCAATCACCAGCCAAACAACGTCGAGCTAGGGGGTGCGACATCATCATCTGGCTCAGCCAGTCGGCATCGAGGTAATCGGCAGCTTCGCTTTTCTGCTTCACAAATTACCCCCCCCCCTCCCTCCCCCCCTCCCTCCCTCCCCTCCCTCCCTCCCTCCCTCCCTCCCTCCCTCCCCTCCCCCCCCTCCCCCCTCCTCCTCCTCCTCCTCCTCCTCTCCCCCCCCCCCCCCCCCCCCCCCCTCTGAGGAGACAATGCACGTCACACGTAAATACAAAGTAAAAAATACACTGCACCTGAGCGTGATTGAGTGCAGTTTGTTACCTTGCAACTGCCTGACACAATGGTGCCGTATGCTCAGTGTCCCTGGAATGCTTCCGACTTGTGTATAACACAAGCCGCAGAAACCACGCTCCGTGTGTCGTTTGCGAAATATTTTTTAATCTTTTTATTCTCTATGGTATCCTATACCCAACATTTTATTTTACTTACTTTTGTTTCATTGCCTAATATTTATTTTACTTCTTATTCATTTGTTTTTGTTTATTATTTACCTACTTTTATTCTGTTAACTCATTCCTTCTCTTCTCCTCTTCGTCGGAAACCTGCCATTGTCGTCGGCACTTTTGCGCTCAAGTAAAAACATTGACTGATCCACACCAACTGCACTATTACAATATAGACCACTTACAACGTAACCGCTTATAGCTCAGGACCGGGTATATCGCGGCTTTTCTAAACCACCGGTTCGCCTCCCATAGAACTCCATGTAATTACATACTGCTTAAAATGCAGGCGCACGAAGGGAAATACCGGTTATAGTGCGGTTCCTGCAACAGCCCGGTGACCGCGCCGACTGACCGGCGCAGCGAGCACGCTTCCCTGTGCAACACTAGATAACGGCGCAAGCCGCAAGCGGCAATTGCGGGGCAAGGAGGTTGCTCAAAGAAGCGGGGAGAAGCGAAGAGAGAGGCTTCAGTTGCCATAGCGACGGAGGGACGCATGCACGTGCCGTTCACATATGTGCGTACCTCCGCTGCATTGGAAACAACCGCAACGGCAACGACAGACCAATCACAGGTCGAGAAGAAGTGTTCGCGCGCGTTACATGCCGGTCGCGGGCCGGCTGCTTCTATCCGCAAACATGGCGTCGGTTGTGATCGTCGACGTAGACTGCCTGGTGGAAGCTCATCGTTCCACGTAAAAGCGCTATCCTTGACTGAATTTTCTCAAACTAAGCTTTATTTTTCATCTAACATAAAATAAATTCTTTTACAAAGGTAAGTAGTCTGATGGCATGTATTTTGGTCTGAAAAATTGATGTTTCGGTTATAGCGTGGTACCGCTTATAGTGCGGATTTTCGCGACTCCTGCGACATATGTTATATGCGGTCTACACTGTAGCTCGCATCCGACTGCCATTGATAGCATCGACCCGTGTTTGAGCCCTGCCGGGGCTTGAACCTCATAAACTTTATACGTAATTTTAATATGCGTAACACTTTCCAGCGGGTCACTCCTCCACGACGCATGCCCACGACTGTTTTCTTGCAGAAAACGTCGCACGACGTTCGTAACGCATATCTTGCGTTAGTACATGAGCGAACGCGAATGTCGCCATCGTCACGGCACCCCAACTCCCGGCTGCCTAAGCGTCCGCGGACTGTCGATATTTAAAGAGCAACCGGCGACGGCACGACGCTCGTAAGACGTCCCAGGGCGGAAAATTGGGGACCACTTTCTGGAACGCGACAAACACACCAATTCGAGGCACCACAGTAACACCAATGTCTGTGCATGTAGAAGAGGAGACGGCATACCCGGCCTTGCCCGGCTCGAGACCGACGTGCCGCGACTGCGCAAACATGTCAAACTCGTCGCCCGAGGGTTTGGCCGCCGGGTTTGAACCTGTGCTTGCAGTCACGCCCAGGGCTGTGGCAGAGGAGAGAAGGTACTTCAGTGACAAAGTGAGGGGTTTCATTTCACCACAACTGCAACTCTCGAGTTTCCCTCACTTCTTACAAACCATTCCGGCCAAAATTTCTCAACTTTTCCAGATTTAATGACTGTTACGCTAAAACTTACGACATGTTGAATTTTTGGGGGCTAGTCTCCAAAGGGGAGAACGTTTACATAGGAATTAGTTTGCTTCTGCTTGAAATGGAGCTCGACCGGCAACCTCTAGGCAACTGGTGGCAGCCGAAAAAAATCGGCCCGGTCCGGGATCAGATTTCGGGACCTCTCCAAGACTGGCGGGGTGTTCTACCGTCTGAGCTAACCATGAGCTGGCAACCGGCAGAGCAAGCAGATGTGAACGGCTGCCACCAGTCTTGATCGCAACCACGGCAAGGATGACCTCTTAAGTGTCCTAGTGGATTTTATCAGCGGCCATCAGTCACCTGGAGGGTGCAAGTTGCGTTCCATATCAGGTGGAACCCAATTTATTCTCTAAAACTCCCACGCTAAGTGATCATAGTTTTTCCAAAGATTTCCCGAACTGTAGAGCCAAAATTTTACCACAATTAAAAGTCCAACATGTCTTTACACACTATAGTTATATAAACAGCCGAACCTCGGAGCAGTAAGCTTAAAGGAGTCAAAACATTGCACTTTTGGGACTCCATTTTTTTATAAAAACCAAAATAATGCCAACGGCATTACTAACGATGAAACAATACGTAGAATACATCAAGTTACTGTAAGTAATTGACATTACCACCTCACTGGTTTCGGTTTCGATAGCTGGAAGGGGGTATGCTGTTGGGATTACATTACACATCAGAGGGTGCAACTCGGACGGCGATCACGAAGCACGAAGAGCTGTAGTGTGGAGGAGGCTCTGTCGTCTGTTCCCATTCTAGGATGTGGAGTCTGCATGTACAGCGCCATATTTTTTTCGAGCAGATGCGATCGCCCCCCATGACTGTTTTTTTCTGGTTTGCAATGTCATCCAGAGATCCCACCTTGCAGTGGGCAAAACCGAAACCAATAATTCAATAACAAATTATACACATCGCCTGGCACATTTTCGTAAAGCACACAATCCAAAGGCCATTTTCTGCAAGTTATGCACGCTCATCTACTCATCGTCCTGATCTAACAATTTCACGAACAGTAAATAGCACTTAGGAATGCGGACAATCTACAGCCTTCACGCAGGTCCGACGGCAGATAAACAAACAACGCACATTCAGGCCGTTCGCAGAGACGCCAAAGTGAAATGCTCGATAACACTGGCGATCTTCTCAGAGGACGTTAAAGTGACGCTCTCACCAAGCTTCTGGAAGTCGTCGGTGACTTCCGGCTCGCCCAAGTCGATCAGCGGACCCACGTTGGCACCGGCACCCTTGCGGTCAACGAGAAGATGCGAATCACCAACATGGAGTCACCGTTCCTCTCAAAATTCCGCACTTTCTCCCCAACGCTACTTCATGTTCCGTTAGATATGCCGGCCTTGCGACAATGGTTAATTAAGGTGGCCTTTTTCTCATCGTACTTCTGTCGCATGCTTTAGGACACCTGCTTTCCTGTTCCGTCGGTTCCTCGTTTGCCGCTTCTGCTGCGGACCTATATAAAGATGTTTTCCGAGTCTCCTGGATGACGCACACATTCCCTGTGGTTGTCGACGGATTGAGAACTTGCACTGGAGGCAGGTCCTAATGCCCCGCCTCCAGTGCAAGCTTCCTAACCTTCGATAACGCTTCGAGCACGCGAGCACAGCCTAAGGACGAAGAAGGGGAACGAGCACTTGCGGGAGTCTGGGCATCCAAAAGGGACGCCCTGCTGTTCGCCCGGCTGTCTGCAACTACAGAGGTTCGGGTACCTAATGTCCGCATCACGTTTCTGTTTTACGTCCCGATAAACGCGCACATTTTGTTTAACACCGACAAGAGACGAGACCTAACCTGCAAGAAAAAAATTACAGGGGGATGCTTAAGCTTCATCTTTAAGAGTGGAACGCAATAGCTAAACATATAAACCCCGCCCGTCCCCAAGTCGTGCAAGCGTGTCCGCGTGGCCCGGTCAGTAGCGTGTCTGGCTCGCAACCGAAGGCTTGTGGGTTCGAATCCCGCCTAAAATTCTCAAAATTCTTTCTTTAAGGCAAATTAGTTACTTTATCAAATGAAATCATTTGAATCATGCGACGACCTTTAATTCACATTACACGTCATTTTTCATTTATTTCATTCCACGCATGATGTCACATTTAACGTGAGCGCTGTGGGTTGTTTCAAATTCCTGCGCGAGGTTGTGTGGCTGTCAGGTTATGACCCTATCAACCAATCAGGATTTTTTCGTCCCGTCAACGCCGGCTTTACTGTGATACGAGCTGATCGCTTTAAAATAAACCTAAAATTTGAAGGGATACAATCTCCAAAAAACATGCAACCCTAACTATGAGCCAGTGACTCGATGCCACTCGGTTCCCAGTAGTGTTTGTGACCAGGGTGGCCAGGTTGGGCTACAAATAGCGCAATTGGCCCACTTGTAGTTGGCGAGAAAATATGGTGGTCAGCTATTTGGCCGTTTTTGGGCTATTTCATACCAGAGATTCAAACAATTTCAAAGCACTTGGTTTCGCAGCCTTTACACAATATTTTTGAGCAAGGTAAAACACAAAGACCAACTCAAGAAGGTGGAAAGAAAACTATCCAAATCACAAGCTGGAAAATTCTTTTAGTTTGCCCTCAATGATGTTGGCCGCGGAGACGCAAACAGTTTATCTGAAGCACTACCCTCAATTTTTTGGCTCATTTTAACTGCTGTGATGTACCCACACTACGCCACTGTTTCTAGAAACTAGTAATGCTTGGTCTTCTTTTTTGCGTTTTGTAAATACAGGTGTTATGCCATGTATTATGCCATCAGCATATCAAAGAAGTGTTTCAGATACGTTGTACAAAGTTTTAAATTTTGGGCTATTTTTATAGCCTGACATTTCGCTACTTTTGGGCTACACTATCTGACGAAAATTCGGCGGGTCAATCTGCGAGCCCCTGGCAACCCTGTATGCGACGCCATCGGAAGTGACAACATACCTCGGTTGGCACTGGTGCCGCTGGTCCTTCTTTCACCTGGCCGGTGACGATGGCAGTCCTGCGCTTCTCGAACCGCTCGTACCGGAGGAACAGGTTGTTCAGGTCGTCGTTCAGCCGCAGCAGCTCTCCTGGGAACCGCCGAGGAACCAAACGTAGAAAGGCCGAAAAGGACGCACTGTCATGTCGCCTAGTTCGACAACCACTGCTTCTCAAGAACGTAAACGACAAGACGCAAAGACAGCGCAAAAAATTAGATGCATCTTAAGCCTAGGGACAAAGTTGGGAGGCACAGGATGCCCGGAGTGTTCTGAGCTGTGCTGGACGCGTACCGCCGAGCGTGAACTATTTCGTTAGTTTCTTAACGTCTGCACGGTTTCTTTCATTTTAAATTTCAACCTCACATTTTCTGGGGCGGAAAGCTAGTTCGGTTTCCCCCTCCCCTGAACTGTGAGGCTTTTAAATGCAGCCTATAGAGTGCAAGGTGAGGAAATTGCAAGATTATTTGTGCTGCTGAAAGAAAAAGAAAAGTCTTTCAGCACACCGATGAAGACGCCACTCACCGGTCACCTCCTCGTTGGCCACTTTGTCTACGAGATCGACCACCCTCGTCTGCATCGCGTGACAAGTCTTCTGTAACTCCTGCACCGCACCCAGACAAAAGAAACAGGGTCAAGACACCACGAGGTAAACCTACGACTTGCGCCCTAGTAACGCAGCGAATTAAGTGTGACAACATTTCTGGATCCCTGTAAGAAAAAGGGAAATGAATGAATCAACGCGGTAAAGAACTTCTCAAAATGGCAACCAACATTTTGTGTTCTAGCTTGTGTTTCCCATGCACTTCTGAGCATTCCTAAAGCAAATCTATTATGCTCTTTAGCATTCTTGTTTTTTCTTTATGAAGGCAAAAACTGCGCCTGATGGTGCTGTCCGGGTAGTGCCCTATTTCATTGTGGCAAGCTCTCCTCAGCTCGCGGCTCTGGCTCAGCGAGATGGAGTCACACCGCAACACAGTAGTGATTATCGGCATTCATGAAATGCCCTCTCCCAAAAAGAAAAAGACCACGGAACAATATAATTTCTCGCCCCAAGACGGCAAACATTGGGCCGAAACGCGCGTTGCGACCTAAGGCAGACCACTTCCGTAAGAACGGGTCAGAGCAGGATCCCCCACAGTGATATGCAAAGTGCTTCTTCAACAATCCAGAAACTACACAAGTCCCTTGTTTTAAGAACTAGCTATTATGCCATGAAAGTATAATCTATTCATGATAAGAACAATAATGATTCTCCTGAATAATTACAAAATGAAAGCTAATAGCTTACTTTTTGTTTAATATGTGTCACAAAGCTCACTTAATCTGACACAAACAAAACAAATGAGAAAAAGAAACAACAAATTCAATAAGGCACAACTAGATTGCCCCCCCCCCCCCCCCCCCCCCCTTCCCTCAACGAACAAAAAAAAAAAGTATTTTAAGGTTCGTTGCTCGGCTAGTTGGTTCACCTTAGCTAAGCATATAAAATAGCGCAAAAAAAACAGGGACACCAAGTAAACAGGACAAGCACTATCCTGTTTACTTCGTGTCCTGGTCTTTTTTTTTGTGCTCTTTTATATGTTTAACCAAAAAAATGTCTCTTAATGCCACTGCTGTTGAAACTCAATCATTTTCCCAAGGGCTGTCACAAATTCGAGCGTTTCCAGGGCCCTCAAGTATGCCAGTTTCACCTCCAAGGGCTCTGAAACGCGCTTTCGGGGACCCATCACCTGCAGCAGCTCCCAGTCGCTGTGCTGCTCCTGCCCCGGCACCAGCTCCGAGAGCATCTCTCCGAAGACGGTCATGTTGCGCTGCACCACCTCCAGCTCCCGCTTCAGCTTCTCCAGCTGCTCGGGACCCAGGGTGACGGGGCTCGGGGGCAGCGACCCCACCTGCACCATCCCGGCGGCCTGCTGTGGCAGGGGGCGCACGGGGCCCCCCGCCGGAGCCATCGCCACCCCACGCACGCCGGGCAGTGTCGACGGGGGCGCTGCGGTCAACGGCACGCTCTGTAAACGGCAACGGGTTCCGTGAGTGAGCAACCGCGAAGCAGTCTTTTTACGGCGGCAGCTGTTAGTGGCCCGTTCCCCGGTTTCGCGAAGGCGTTAGCGTAAACCAAAGTTTTCCCGCTAAATTTGGCGGGAAAATTAATGTTGCGTGACCTGACGTCTTGGGACCTACAGACAGATTGAGGTTTTCCACTAAATCTAGCGAAAAAATTTACATCACATGACCTATGCACTAACTCAGTTTCCCTGCTAAATTTGGCGGGAAAACAGATGACGACCTTGTCGCCGCCGTCTAAATGCATCACATCGTCGAGCAATTTTAGTAACTTCAGGTAGCTCTTCGGAGTAGAAACTTTATGCTTGGAAAGCACAGAACGGATCAATTAAGCAACAAGTGATGTGTGGATGCGACAAGTGATGCGGCGCAACTGTGGTCGGGGACACGCCCTGCGGCGAGAGACGGAGTCGACGGGCGACTGCGAGACGGCTTTATGAACTCCGGCTAACGAGTGTCAAAACACGCGCTTCACGTTCGGACAAAGTCGAAGAGGGTAAGTGAGTAAAAAGTGATGTGAAAAAACTGACGGAAACGTATCTGATCACCGATGTCATGCTTGGGATCAGCGATGCGATACACGTGGTCGGCGACATAGGTGATCACCGAAGTGATGCACGTGATCAGTGATGCGACATGTGAGATCAGTAGGGTTCCGTGTTTCCTCAATTCGGATTTTTCTGAAAAACCCTGAATTTCGAGGTCACAATGGCAGAATAAAAAGCAATGAAAAGCAGAAAAAGACAGTGTTTTACGAACAAAATTTGCGAGAGCAGAGGGTCGGCGGTCCTGAGGAGTGACCATTTTAGTTTCTTTTGAAGTCTCGGACTATTGACAAAAAAAGTGTACTGTTTATCTCGTCAAGGTTCGTTCAGAACAACAGGTCATCATACTTCTGGGTCACGGCAAAAGCCACTGTTCTGGTTTCCATCTGGACCATACCATTTGCACTTCTTAGAGGGAAGAGGGGTTGGGTTTTTATGACAGTGAAAGCTACAAACCAGTAGATATCATAGGAGGGGTCAGGGCAGCTGGAGCTTCTATGCTTCCCACCAAATATGTCCACCGGTGTTTAGTAATTTCAAAGAGTTGACGTTAATTGAAGCAATACTTTTTGCAGATTTTTCGTGGGACAGTTAGTAGAGTAAAAGCTTGTTAATTCGAATTGCATGGGGATGCAAAAAGAATTTGAATTAAACAAAATTCTAACTATCGAAAAAAAACGAAAAAAAAGGGCCGCTTCTGCAGAGGAAACGGTCGGAATGGCAGACCTTTATTATCGAAAGTAGTCAGTGATCCTCATCTGCTTTTTTTCTTGGAAAGTTATGGTCATTAGCTTATTTTCAAGGGAACGCACCAAGCGCAAGGCATCTTCTTCGCCCTCTTCAAAGCTGAAGAAAAGACGCACCACGTTCAATGCGTCCATGACCTCCGGCACGGATGGCCGAATCGGAGTTTCTTTCCCCCCCCACTTCTTCCTCCTCGTCATCGACTTCGTTCTCCGCTTCCGCGACGGGTTCGCCAACTACTTGAGCGATGATGTCTTCGTCTGTCATATCGCCACAGATCACCGCACTACTGTCTGCATCGACGTAATCGGCAAAACTCACGTCCTGCAGCAGATCACACATGCCCTCAAAAACAACCTCACACTCTCCGGTGTCACCGCCAGCCGCCTCCGTACCCAAGACACTAAAGCCACAGTGACGGAAACAGTTCGCAATTTTTGCGGCGGTGACTTGGTCCCATGCGTGAACCAGCATGTGCATGGCAGTGAGGAGTGTCCCGTTATAAGTCTGGTTCCCTTTGGCCGCACAAAGAACCATTCGTTCCAGCATGTGACGTTTGTAGAAGGACTTGATGTTCTTGATCACACCCTGGTCCATCGGCTGGAGTGCTGCAGTCGTGTTTGGTGGAAGAAACACGAGTTTAATCGCCTTCAGCTCCACGTCGACCTTGTGCGCTGAGCAGTTGTCTACAATAAGCAGAACCTGTCGGTTGCTCAATTCGAACTTTCTGTCGAGCTTCTTAAGCCACTTCTTAAACAACTCGCCAGTCATCCACGCCTTTCTGTTGGCTTCGTAGTCCGTTGGCAGTGTGCGAATGTTCTTGAAACACCGAGGCTTCATAGACTTTCCTATTACGAGCAGGGTTAACTTCTCTGTTCCAGTCATGTTTGTCACGACCAAGACGGTGACACGCTCTTTACTTCGCTCCCCTCCTGCGCAGTTCTCTCCTTTGTACGTGATCGTTTTGTCCGGCAAGAGTTTAAAAAATAGAGCGGTCTCATCCGCGTTGAAAATGTCCCGCGGCGTGTAGCTCTCCAGGTAGCCCTGCAGGGATCCATTTCGCCACATTGCACAAGTTTCCATGCTCACGTCTTTACCTTCACCAGACACGATACGGAAGATGAGGTCGTGCCTCTGACAGAAGCGATGGAACCATCCCTCAAATGCGGCGAAGTCGTGGTATTTCAAATGTAGTGCGAACTCGGCTGCCTTCGCCATGATGATGGGGCTGCTGAGAGGAAGATCTTGGCTTCTCATCTCTTTAACCCACGTGATGAGCGCCTTCTCCAAATCCAGGTGTTTGGCAGAACGAAGTCTTTCTCTGCCATGGGGAAAAAACTTCAGCTTCATAGGCGTCCTCGATTGTTTTCCTGTTGCGGACGTACAGTAAAACCTCGTTATAACAAACTTGAAGGAGTGATCGTAATTATTTCGTTACAACCATTAGTTTGTTATAGCCAATGTCCATTTCTTCCCTATTAGCATGCAAGGGGAATTATGATTGCTTTGTTATATCCATTAGTTTGTTATATCCCATTTTGTTATAACGAGGTTTTACTGTATGTTGACAACGTACTCCTCGAGATCTCGTGCTTCTTGACAATCTCGACCTTGCTTGCTTTTCCTGCGTCTACTTCACGCAAAATCTCCACTTTATCTCTGGGCGTTTTGGCGTAATACTTTCCTTGGGCCAGTATACCCGGTGACGACATTGCGGTCTTAAAGCGCGTAGCACGTAGCCCGGTCGTACGGCCAGTATGGCCAACACCATCAGCTAAGTCACCAGCACAAATGGATCGGCGATCGCGCAACGGCTCAAACACAGTAGGCCCGGATCAACGAGGCACGGAAACAGAACCGCAGAACTGGTAATGCGGAGAACAAAGGGACGTGAAGGGCTTCGAAAAGCGCGAAAGAAACCACTCTGAGCGCCCCTATTGGTCTCTCGAACGCCTGGCGATGTTGTTCCAAATATCCATGTGTGCATCCCTATTGGCCTGCAGTGGATACCCGCGACACTCTCGTGTTTCCTGCAACGCGCCTGCCGCAGTTCAGAACGCGCGGCGACGCAGCTCCCACCGCGCCGCCTGTTGCTTGAGCGAAAAAGCTCCACGCATGGCAGCGCGCAGTTTGAATTATCGGTGCCGGGAACGATTCGAGCGTGAATTAACGGGCTGTTTTACACATGTACCTCTACGCAGCGTGACCGGACCATGGCGACTGGTTTCAATTATCCGAAAGTTTGAATTAATGAGTTGTGAATTAACGAGCTTTCACTGTAATGTCGATGGGAAGGGCGCCAATGCGAAATGCAGCCGTGTAAATATCATGTGATACAGGTGAGTTATGAATTAAGGGTATGTTTGTGTCCAGATATTCGTCACTTTTATTTTTAATTAAACAAATCAGAAACACAGTAAAATTAAACTCAGAATTTCAAAGAATTGGGAATCTGAACAAAATAAACTCCGATAAACTCCGAATTATCAGCAAAAAATAACTCCGAGAAACACCTCCAAATTTCGCAAAAGATACACTCCGAAAACACAGAATTGGTGATTAGTGATGTGATACATGGGGTAAGTGATATATGTGATCAGTGATGTGATGTCTGTGATCAGTGATATGATGCATAACATAAAAGATGTGATGCATCTAATAAGTGATGTGATGTGAGTGTGGTCAGCGGCGTACTCAGCGGACAGCGACGGGATCGATGAGCAACCGCGAGTTCATTTCAACTTCGGCTAATGTGCACTCCATGTTCGAAAAGCGTGGAAAAGGATAAGTGAGTAATAAGTGACGCACGTAGATGTAATAAGTGAGGCGATGCAAGAGTGATTAGTGGCCCGAATTTACAGCAAGCGATGGGACAATCGGCAACCGTGGGGCAATCTCTTCTAGTTTAGGCTAACAGCAGTCCAAGATGCAGACTTCACTTTCAGAAAGCATGTGGCAGGATAAGTAATAAGTGACATACATGTGACACGAGTGATAAGTGATGTGGTGCGAGTAAAAGGTGACATGATCTACAAGAGAAGTGATCTAAGTAACAAGTCACGTGATGAGATGGTAAGTAACAAGTGGATAAATACGTTGCGTGGAATTGATACGCTCCTTTCCTCCCCGTCAGCCACTTCTCCGAGCACGCGAATGCAATGCAATGAAGCTTACGTGCCGGTGCTGAACGGTGAAGCCAACCCTACCTTCTGGCCCCCGAGTTTTCTAAAGATTAACTCCGGCTAATGAATAAGCGCTCGCTCGGCAATTCATGTTAAGGCCACGGTCCCACTGAATGTGGCAGTTTAGGTACTTTTTGGCAGGTCATTACTCATCTCCTTTTGAATACTGTTTTGTGGGATTGATGTCATTCGAGAGGCAATGCAATCCTCTTTCATTTGATATTATGTATGTGTTGGTTTTTACTGCTCATGCGAATTTGTGGCGTTGCGAATATGATGGCGCGGACCCTCACTTGCTCCGCTAGTTCATGTTTTATGAACGATCCATTAAAGATAGCACGGTTCCAATATAGCAGTTTTGTTAAGATGATGTCGGAGCAGAATGTAACGATACACTTTGTTGCTATTTGCACTACTTTGTTTTTTTCATCCCTCCAAATATTGCCCTAAAATTGAAATTTTTCAGCACAAATA